TTCCCTATGCAGCGCATCCTCCCCAGCAGGAAACATAGGCTGATACCTGCAGGATGCAGCCACATCAAGGATGCTGCCAGGGGCTCCAAGATCCACATTAGGGAGAATTCCCRCGGATCCCCTTGCTCCATCCCCTGCTGGGGCCGGTACCCACCGGGTGTTGGGGTGCAGCTGTGGCCAGAGCTTCCCGGGCGGCCGCGCTGCTCTGGTGCAGAGCAGCCCTGACCTGCTCTCAGCGGCAGAGCTATATTTAAAAAGAGCCCAGTCAGCAAAAACCTCCTTTGCCACCTGTCCCGCTGGCGCCAGGGACAAATCCAGCCCTGGAACAGGGGACGGGAGCCACGCAAAGCAGCAGGAGCTACCAGGAGGTGATCCTGGGAGTCCTTCCTGATGCCATTCCAGGTGCCTGGAGGCTGCTCATAGTCACTCCCCCCACCACCTTCGTGCAAATGAATCCCCATTTCCTGCAGCTTTTACCTTTCCCTCSCTGGTGGCTCCTGCAGCAGGAAGGAGGATGGATAGGGACTGGTTTGTGATGGAGAGCGGCTCTGCATCCCTTGCGGTGGTTCCGCATCCCTCCCTGTGCCYGGCGGGACCGTCTCCTTCCCATGCACCTTGTGCTGGGGAAGGGACACAGGGAGTGCCTGGGCACCAGCAAATTTTCCTGGTGGGAATCACGGGGTGTGTCATTTTGGGGGGATTTTAAGGGAGACTTGGCACCCAGCTTTGCAAGCTTGGGACTCACTGCCTGCTCACTAGAAAGGAAGTGGACTTGGGGAGGGAATGGGAGCATGGATTGGGAATGAGAGTGTGGRGGGGGAGGGGGCAATGCAATTCCAGCTAATTAAGGTAATTGCAACTCCACACCAGCTGCTCCCCACGTGTGGGAGCTCGGGAGGTTGCGGATGCTGCAGTGGAGCTGGGCTGGGAGCAGCACCCCACATGTGGCCATGGGGCTTCCCTGGGCCACCGCTGCTCCTGGGGAATCAGCTTCCCAGAAAAACAAGCGCACGGGGCCGTGCAGCAGTGGCTCCCGCCCTCTGTGTCCCCGCGTGCCCCGCGTCGCCGGCCGCGCTGGCGGGGAAGGCCGGGATGCAGAGCGGGGAGCAGCCCCCCCGGCCACCGGGCTCCTTCTCCCTCCTCTGCGGATGCAGCCGGAGCCGGGGGACGGATCCCGCGCAGGGGGTGGGTCCTATGCAGAGGGATAAATCTGTGGCAGAGGGACGGCTGTAACACAAAGGGATGGATCCAATGCAAGAGGACAGATCTGATGCAAAGGGATGGATCCAGTGCGGAGGGATATGTTAGTTGCAGGGGGATGGATCTGATGCACAGGGACGGATCCAACGCAGAAGGATGTGACTCAGGAGCACGACACGTGCCCAGGCATTCGCCACCCACCTTCCCATGCCGGCAGGGGCTGCTCTCTCTGGCTTCCTCCTATCCCAGCACGCAGGGCCCGGGAAGGGCCGGAGTGCTGCAGGGACGGCGYGACCTCCCCCCCAGCTATTTATATCCTGGCCGTGCTCCCGCTCGCTGGCAGCTCTGGGGTTATTTTTATCCAGCTGCAGCGGAGAGGCCGCGAGGGGCCGTGGCGTGAAACGCCCACGGGTGCCCGTGTCCCCCCAGGTGTCCCCTCTGCCCCAGCACTGCCCCCAAGGGCTGTCACAGCCTGCGGGTGCGGGGTCCCCGGCCGCTGCCCCGCGGGGACGCGAGCAGCGCTGTCTGCATCTCTGACGGGCTCCGCGCTGGCTGCGTCCTGCCGCCCCCCGCACGGGACGCGGGAAGCCTCCGTGCTGAGCGYTGCTGCTGGGCAGCACCCGAGGTGGCACCCGGGATCCGCGCGGAGCACCCCAAGGTGCAGATCCCAGAGCTGCGCCGGAGCAGCCGCCGGCTCCCCTGTGCCAYTCGTGGCATGGATGCGTGCCGGATAGATGCTTACATGGTGCATGGACAGATGCATGGATAGACGGACGGATGGATGCATGGATAGATGGATGGATGCATGGATAGACGGATGGCTTTTCCCACCGTTGCTATTCCTGGAAAGCCAGCGCCAGCGGGGGGTTATTAGCAGTGCTATTAATAGCAGCCTCATGGCTTCTTTCCGCGCTCCGGTGCGGAAGCGCGCTGGGAAATCGCTGCCGGGGCGGGTGGGGGCCCGATGCCGCCTGAGCCGGGTGCCCAGCTGGGGGGAGGGCGCTGCCCCCCGGCACTGGGTGCTGCCGCCTGCTGCAGAGCTGAGTCACAGCTGGGGCGCTGTTAATTAAACGTATTTCTTAATTAACAAGCTCATCGGCAAGGCCTGCCAGTTGGAGCGGGCTCTCCATCACTGCCAGCACCAGCAGCTGCGGYGGGCAGGGGAAGAGCAGCGGGGTATCCTGTGTGGTGCTCCGCTCAGAGCCGCTTCCCGCGCTCACGCTGCAGCCGAGCGCGGCCATGCGAGGGACACAGGCTCTCCCGGTGCTTCCTCCCCCTCCTCCTCATCAGCATGCAGGGCTGTGCTCAAGCAGCACGGGAGCTGCACGTGGCCTCGGCTCCGGGCAGGAAGGACCCCAGCCCCCCAGTTCTTCCCCAGGTGGTTCTGGGGTGCATGGAGCACACGGGGACAYGGCCCGGGGATGCTGCCGCTTCCCCCCCCGCATTGGGCAGTCTGGTCATGTCTCCACGTCCCCGGCAGGGCCGGCGCAGCCCCACGGTGTCACATGCTGGCCGTGGCAGCGGTGACTCAGGGCTGCCGCGTGCTGCGGAGATCCCTGCTCAGAGRCAGGGAAATAAAATGGAATAACAGCATCCTCCCCCTCCACCCCCGAGCRTCCAACGGGCCCCACACCTCCGGGAAAGCCCTCCAGCTCCACACTGCTCCACGTGCATGGACCCTATGGGGCTGGAAATCCCATCGCATCCAGCAGTGGTTGGAGCCCGTGACCAGGGAGCAAAGGAGGATGCAGAAAAACAGCCCCCGTAGAGCCCAGACCCCTATAGCTGAGCCCCTATAGAGCCCCATCCCTACAGTGCTAAGTCCCTGTAGAACTGAAGCCCTATGGACATGAACCCCTATAGAGCTCCACTATGTGATGGGGGCCCCCCTAYAGAACCTGACCCTATAGAACGAGAGCCTCCCCCCCACGAAGCAGCCCAAGAGCCAGCAGGGAGCAAACCCAGGCAGGGGGCTGCAGGAGGGGACACTGAACTGAGCACAGCCCATGGTTGGGTGCAGAGGGAGCCTTGCACCCTGCAGAGCCTGCGATAGGGTGGGCGGCTYGTTGCACAGAGCAGACCCTGCAGCGAGGTGCAGGGGGGCAAGGAACACTGCCCAGACCCCATGGTGGGGTGCAGGGGGGGACACTGACCGTGCAGTGACGTGCAAAGGGGGAGACTGCACCACACAGACTCTATGACCGGGTGCAGGGTGGGGACATTCACCATGCACATCCCGCAGACTCGTCCCCTTTCGCGTCACCTTGAACCTCCCAGGGTCCCTTCGGCCAAGCTTGGCACCCATGGGTGGTCTGGCCCTGAGCTGTGCACCGTGCGGGCGCTCCTGCCGCCCGGACCCGGCCCTGAGGCCCCCCCGGGCCGTGCGGTTCCGCCGTCACTTGCTCGTGGTCAGCGCTTACAAGAAAAGGCCCCCGGGCTGGGGGAGAGGACGGCAGAGCCGGGGGGGTGGATTCCAGTAAATGGCCGCAGGGCCTTCCTCATTCTCGAGAATAGGAAACTGCACCGAACTGCACCGCTTCCCCGCGGGGGTTTCGCTTTCCGTGGGGGCGGGCGCGAGGCAAAGCGGAGCCCACTGGCTCCGGGGGCTGGCGGCAAAGAACACAAACTGGTCCCTTACTTCATCTCCAAGCACGTGCATGTGCAAAAAAATGCTGCGTTTGCTGCAGTTTGGGTGCAAAACTCTCCTTTTCTTGGGGAAAAAAAAGCCCTAGACGGGGGGCTTGCACAAAATGCGGGGGAAAGGAGGTCTTGCAGGGAGTCATCCACAAGCAATTGCCCTGTACAACCCTTCACCATCCACTGTTGCCCCCCCAAGCRCCCCTTTCCTCCACCCCAAACGTAGCTCAGGACCAGCTGGAAGCGGTGGAGGGTGGAAGGAGCACCAGGGGGAAGGGGTAGGGGGCAAAAGCTGCTAGAAAGAGGCCCCCCCCCGGTCCCCCTGCCCCCGAACACCGTCATGCTCTGCTGGAGTAGGGCGAGTTGTGGCCCATTTATGAGTGGTGGGGCTGGTGGTGGCTCCGCACTGCCAGGATTCCCCAGTGCCAGGAGCTTCCCCACGCCCAGGCTCAGCCCCTCGGTGACATCCCGCATGTCCTGGACATGACGGCTTTGCCAGGGCATCAGGGATCCACCTGCAGGTGCTCGCGGCACGTGACGGGCCCACGGTGGGGGATGAAGGAGTCTCTGGAAACTCCCCTCAGTCTTTGCAGCACCTGGGACCCATGGGACACACGGTGGWGGCTGGAGGCATCCTGCACCTGTAATCCTGGATCTCCCGGAGCCGCATGATGCTGGGAGCAGACAGGCAGAGCAGGGGGTAAGGGAACCACGAGGCTGCACCAAAACCSTCCCATAAAGACCCCTAGATGCAGACACAGGGGTTGCAGGTGGTATTTATTGCAGAGGCCCCAGTTCCAGCACTGCCCCCGCCACGGGGCCCTGAAGCTGAAGCGGTAGGAAGGCTGAGGAGCTGCTGCCCTCGGGCGGCAGATCGCAGCATGGCACCGTGGGCAAGGGCTGCAGCGGGGGCACGGCCCCAGTGCCCCAAAACCCCCGGCTCTCCCCCTACCTCCTCACTTAGGGATGACTTCCATCGTCTCAGTCCAGATCCCTTGGAGCAAAGAACAAGGAAGAGGGGGAAGGAGGAGCCAGGGTGTCTGCATGGTCACAACTCCCCATTTTGCCGTAGGGAAATGCAAAGCATGGAGAGACTGGGGAATCCATCCAAAGGCAATGGGCGCAGGAGGACGAGGAGGGAGGAGGTTCAACACCAAGGGGGCTCATTCTGTTCCATCAAAGGAMTCGGCATCCTCATCCTGCTCGGGCTGGGTGATGCCGGCAGCACAGCGCGCCATGGCCCTCATCCAGCGCCGCTTGAGCTCCTCCGTGTCGGCCACGAAGGTGAGGACCTGCCGCGACTGCGCCAGCTGGAACACGTGGCGGGAGTCGCCCTGGGGCACATCCTTCACTTGGTAGCCCAGCAGCGGGATGGAGGTGTGAGCCCGCACGTCCTGCCGGGACAGCAGAGATGGTGGCTGGGAAGGCGGCGGGGGACGCGGATGCTGGGCAGCCCCTGGCAGACGGAGCCACCGCCGGTCTTACCTGGGGGGCCGCGTAGATGTACAGCACGAGGGGGTCATCCCGCGGGATCACAAACCAGCCCCGCGTGCCTCCCTTGCTGTTCTTGTCCAGCAGCTGCAGGGAACTGCAGAGCAAACTCCTGCCTGATACTTCTGCGGCTTCTTTCTGTCAAGACACCAGGAAAAAACATCCTTAAATAACCAAGCACGGGGCAAGGCAGAGAGGGCACTGCTCAAAAGAAATCCCCTACTCCTGGAGTTGCCAGGATTTAGGTGGCAGCTGCAAAAGGCAGAGGAGGAACAGAGTGGCTGGGGAGGACAACTGTGATGAGAGAATAAGGGACAGAGGATGAAAGGTGGAGAGGCAGATCTCACCTCCAGGATGCCCTTGTGCTTCCCCTCACGGTCCTCGAGCACCACGTGTCCTGTCAGGAAGATGTAGCACTCCTGGCACACGCGGTTCAGGCGGCTCCGGTCGTACTGCAGCTCAGCCCTGTAGTCGGAGCAGCGAGCACACACCACCTGCGGCCCCCCAACACGGACACTGCTGCAGGGCTGGGGGACCCCAGGGACAAATCCATCCCCATAGGGGCAGAACCCGCAGCCAGGGGTATCCCTGAGCCCTGAGGATACAGGGCACACGTGTCCCAGACGCCACCGTAGCAGGCCAGGAGCACCGGGGGACAGAGACACTCACGTATCCACAAGCCCGACAATGGTGTCTGCGGCGAGTGAGGGCATTGAAGGGCTCCTTGCAGCGCATGCACATGGTCACCAGGTTGTCCCGCACCCACTGCGGGGCTCGACGGCCCAGCTCCTCCATCTGCAGGCGGCAGACGGCATTGCTGGGGCAGGCGCTRTGCTCATGCCCCACTCGGCTGCACTGGCTCCTCCGCTCTCACCCTTCCCTTCCCCAGTCCTTCTCCTTTTCCCAAACTTCTCCCATAGCTCAGTAGGGTTATCTAACTATCTAACTATCTATCTAACTGGAACGGTGCAGCCAGGTGCTGGAGTCAAGCAAGCAGGAGAAGGGCTACCTTCAATGCAGCAGGTCCCACCTCTGGCCCATGCGTAGCAGTCTTGAAGCTCTCACTGCTGCTCTTCTTCCTCTTGATGGCGTCCTGGAAGGCCTGGAGGAAGAAGCCAGGTTGGTGGGACACAGCAGCACAAGCTGTAGCTGTGACGATCCCTAAATATGAGGACCAGCATGGAACATGTGTCCTGTGATGCCTGGACCAGGACCCATACGCTCAGCCAGGGTGGGCATGACTTCTCCCAGTACCCAACCCTACCTTGATCCAGGAGTTCATCTCCTCTCTGGACCTGGGTTCAGAAAAGGAAACAGATGAGCTAGTGTCACCTCCTCCCCCAGGAGCTGCAGGACTGTCACCTTTCCCCTCACCTGGCCTGCAGCTCCAGTGTCCGCTGCTTGCCAGAGACCAGGAAGGTGTGAGGAAACTGCACGTCATTCAGCTCCCGGACCTGGAAGAGGGACCAGAGAGAGGATGGGGAAGAGTGGGGCCCACATCCAGCATGCTGGGACCTTCCTCCATAATGGGGGCACAGGGAGCTCACTTGGGCACAAGCCCTTTGTCCCTTCAAGTATCATGCGCCCTGGTTTGCACTGCGATCTCACCRGATCAGGCAGTACCAGTCACATCTGTAAGGCCACCCCTGGTTCCAGCTCCTCCCTCTGCTCCCCAGAAGTCAGAGCCAGAGCTGGCTGCAATTTGTGAGGAGCCTCTGAAGCAGGGCCCCAGGACACAAGGGAAAAAGCGAAGGCCTCTCTGACCTTTAGGCCATCCACATCGATGCGGAGGTGGACCTGGAACTCAGCACCCACTTGAATCACCTTGGGCACACAGTAGAGCAGCATGTTGTTGAACTGGGTGGTGGAAGAAGGAGAAGGTCAGTCTGGTTCTGGGATCTGGGGTCCTTCATGCTCTTTGGACTGATCCAGTTCTTGGAAAGGATTTGGCCCCAGAACTRAACCACTTCTGCAAAGTCCTCTGGGAGGGTGACATCCCTAAAGGGTGGCAGTGTCCCAACCACATCTTTTACAGGGTGCCAAAACCAGCGGCTCAAACCCTCCCAGCTCTGAGTTTGCTCCCTCCAAGGGGACCCTCTCCCCATCCATCCTCCCTGCCCCTTCCCCAGTGCATCCCGTCTCCCACCAGGAACAGGTACTTTTCCGACGTGCTGTTGCGGGAGGAGATTTTTAGGACCGGCCCTTCCTTGATCAGCTCATTGGAGGGATCCACAATGTCATCCTCAAGGCCCAGTCTCTGATAGACCTCCCAGAGGTTCTGCAGCCGCTCCTGGGGGAGGCAAGGAGACACTGCAGCGACCTGTTCTGGGGAGAATCTGAACACTTTCTGGTCCCTTCGCCTCCACAAAGGTGTTGGAAGGCACCAATTTCTCACCAGCACCTTTGGCTGGAGATGGCAGTGCAGAGTACAGAGGAACATGGAGATACAGGAGACAGAAAGGGACAACAGTGACAGGGGCAGAATGGAGAGTCCYTGGAGCAGCTGAAAGCTGGTCTGCGAGGGGCAGTGGTAGGGAACAAAAGGAACAGAACAAGGACAGGGCCAGTTCTCCATCACCCCAGACACAGGGTGTCACAGCTCTGCCACAGCCCTGGCCACTGCAACCCCTCCACGCATCCCACCCAGCAGTGGGAACACGCACTCACCATCTCAGCAATAGCCGCATTCGAGTGCTTGGCCACCATGAAAATCATTTCCAGGGCCTCTGCAACGAGAAGGGAGAAGAGTTACCCCACTTGCTGTAGAACAGTTAGGTGGAAACTTCTCGGTCTCTCCCACCCTGGAGCGCCCCGTGCTGCTGCCCTCCCCTGGCCACAACTCGAATGGCCTTGAACGCTGCACAGGCGCCTGCATCTGGTTGCTTTGCCCACCACAGACCAGTTTGGGCAGGGTGCAGACAGCCTGGTCATTTATCATCCCCAGTCTAACAGGGCTGGACACTGCTGTTACCAGCAGACATGCAATACATCCCCTGRCCACTGCAGATCTGCCCAAGGGATGCTTGGATCATCCTTGTCCTCTCACCGTTCCTCACTGATATCCACACTCTCCAAAAAGGCAGAATATTCCCTCCTTGTTAGAAAAGGACAAGACTGAGAGTTTTTTTCCCACAGCACAGGTTGACTGGGGAGGGAAGGCAGGTGTCCTGATGCCCCTGTAGAACGTTATGTCATTTCCCTGATAAACCCACCCCGCTGCTCCCCACCATGAGGAGAGCCGCTCGGAGCCCTTACTCTCTGCATCAGCCCTGTCCGGGGACCCGGGCTGCAGTTTTTGGACATAGTCTTTCAGGAGGAGCTCGTAGCGCGGGATTCTCTGCACAGGTTCCAGCATGTGGTGCTGCAGCGTTAAGTTAGCACAGACCTTCCTCTTCTGGGGAGAGACACGCAGACAAAGAGAATCAAAGTGACCACACTGGCTCTCACCTCCCAGTTTCCCGACCGGAGAGAACCTGCCGGGAGAAGAACTGATGTCCCCCTCTCACCACAGGGCATCACCTGGATGTCAGCAATGAGCTCCTGGAAGGGGGGCGATTTCTCCGACCAGATGGTGATGAGCTCCAGAGCCTTGTCAAAGTTCTTCACGTACTCACCGTACATCTTGAGGAACGGCGCAAGCTTCTGGATCACATCCCCAATTCGCGGATTGGAACTCCTGTGGGAGGATATTCCTCAGGGAAGTGGGGAAGATGTTCAGTGAAGGTTAAAGAGGCTRCCTGGGCATAGTGGAGGACAGAGATTTACTGCTGTGGCCATGCACCATCTCACTCTCCAAAAAAGACATGTGCCCAGTAATACAGGCCTGGGAACTTGCCCGAGTTCCCTGAGGCGTCACTCCCCTTTCCAGGAATATCCTCATCCGGACTGGAGTGTTTTAAGAAAGTACTTTCCGCGACAAAGACCTCTGGAACAAAATAGGCTGAGCTCCCTGATTCTGTGGGGAGACCAAACGCACCACGGCTTGTCCCATCTGGGAAAGGAACCCAGGTGTCCTGCCCTTGCCTCCAACTCACCAATCCTCCATGCGCTTCTGCAGCTCCGGCAGGAAGAACCTGGCATGGAACTGGTAAATGGAGGAGATGTTGGARAAGATCATTTTTACCACCTCCTCTGGGACCATCTTCCCATTTTTGGCTTCATTCATCAGCTCCATATAGAACACCTGGAAGAATGGAGGGGTGAACAAGAGGGTCAGGAAGGGGCCTGGGCYCTGTCCCCTCCTAAACTGACATATTGTTCAGTGGAGGGGACCAACTCCAAGCAGGACAGAAATCCCAGGTCCATGGGGAGAAGCAGGAGTAAAATCTAACATGGGCTTTGCTGGTAAGTGGAAAGAAGTGCTCCTTGGAAGCATGGAACATGGGACAGGCAAAAGGCAGACCTTGCCCTGAGGACCATCRACCTAGCAAAGCTTTCGCCCGTGTGGCTTCCCACTCTCTGAAATCTCCAGGGAAGAGTCCCTGGTCTGCACGTACGCTGAGCTGTGCTCAGGTCTGCTACAAGGTCCCCRCCTTTGACCAGAGGACTAATAATTATTGAGGATTGATCAGTGTGAATCTACACTCTGTCGTGCCTAGTTCAGCATAGCCCCAGTCCAAGGGGTGCCTGAGCTGCACTGGCAGAGGCTGAGGGTAGACAGCAACAGGACTATTCCCTCCCAGGTCTGTGGGCTGCTCACCTGGTCGAGAAGGTGGAGGCGACTGACATAAGCTTGTTCCGTCTCCAGCAGCTCCAGAGCAATTTTCTTTTCCTCTGGCTCCTGTGCAGGGAGAAGAGCTCAGTCCTGCAGGCAGCAACAAGCCCCTCAGCCTGAGGGGCTTGTGTTCCCCCACAGCAGAGTTATATGASAGACCACCCCTGCTTGGATCGATCCGCCCGTGGGGAACTCATCCCGCGGCTGCTCTTGGGGGAGTGGGAAGTGGCTACTCTTCCACCTCTGGGTACTCCAGCCCTGACAAGGGCAAAGACAAAGCAAAGAGCTAGCAGAGACCTCAGCCCATAGGACTCCCTGCCAGAGCATGGCCAACCTGGCTCAGGCTGCTTCCAGAGCTTAACTTTCCGCCCGGATCAAGACCCGAGTCCTGCTGCCTCCTCCAGTGACCCTCGCCAATCTTGTGCTGGAGCGAGCGCAGGCATTTGAAGCTGAGCCCCCGCTGCCGCCGCTCCGAGAAAGGCTGTGTCTCCTCCTCCTCCTCCTCCTCGCTCTCTTGCTGCACTTGGGATGTGCCGGCCATCAGGCAGAGCCTCTGGTCCTGGCTCGACACGGAGCCGGGAAGCCCTTGGACACAGCTGCTTGCAGGGCTGGCCTGGGCGCGCGGAGTGAGGCGATCCCTGTGCGGGCTCCAGGGAAAGCTGCAGGCCCTGCCAGGGAAAGGGCTCTGTGTGGGTGGCTTTGCAGAGGGACGGTTTTTCCGTTGCTTTTTCTCTTCCCTTTTCTGGCAAAAACAAGGATGACAGAGCAGTAATGGAGAAGCAACCACACAGGGCAGAGGCTTTGAAGATGACAGTAGCGGGTAATCTGCCACCCAGGAGATGGTTTCTGTGGTAAATAACTGCAGCGGGGACCAGAAAGCCATCAGTGCACTGCAGAAACGAGTGTGAGAATGAAAAAAGGAAAAGCAGGATGAAATTACATACAAAGCTGCAAAGCTGCAGATGGATTTCTCGAGTTRCAGACAGCCATTTGAAGGTTTTTGACAGGTCCAGGCTCTAGTTTTTAAGCATCTACCTGTGAGTATGCGAGTGCTGCCCAGCCCCAWGTACATCCCATCTGTGGGATGCATAATCCTGCATAACAGAGATGCTTTATCCATCCCCCCCRATGCCCTCTAGAACCACATCGGTCTGAATCTAGCACCAGCAGATCCAGCAGAGAACTTCTCCCTTTCCATTTGCAGTATGACTTGTGCTGACCTGGGCTTAAACTACTTTCTGTTCCAGAAAGAGCTTGCCTCCAGGCTCTCTGGCTTCCTCCAAAAGCTCGAAAAGTCACTTTTATTTCCTCTAAGCAAGGCTCCCATCCATTGCAGCCAACAACAGATACGCAGCAGCAGTGGAGCGCAGGCACCAAGCACCACCCGCAGTTCTAGCCCAGCGATATCACAGACCAGTTTCCCACCACGGGACTATGCGGATGCCCACACTGTGTCTGGAGCCACGCGGAGCCCAAAGCTGGGGGTGAAGCGAGGAAAGCAGGTGCAGGGAAAGCCCTCGGAGCAAGAGGAGGGAGCTTGCAGAGGGAAATCATGGGAACTGTCCTTAGGAGGTGCTGCAAAGCCCATCCACGCAAGCGCTCAGCCTCACAGAGCTCCCTGGGAGCCCCTCAACAGCCAGCCGCCGGGCAGGACCTGCCACCCGTGTGCCATGGATGGTGGCACCGAGGGATGGTGGTATCGGACACACCGCAGCCACGCTGCGTGTTTCCAAACCAAACCCCAAATCAGCCGCGTCCCATCGAGGTTTTCCGTCTTCCACGAGCCCCAGGAGGAGGCGGAAGCTGCTCCTTGGTGCTCAGACCTCGAAGCCACCTGGACACCTTCCCTGCAGCCTTCATCCCCGCTCAAACACGTGGCCTTCTCCGCAGCGYGCGGCCCGGCCGCCCTCACCTTTGCTCCTCGAACGCGGCCACCAGGTCCAACACACTCCTGGCGTTCTCCGCCTCCATCCTCCCGTCCCAGAGCAGGCCTGAGGCTGCAGGGACGGCCGGCGCCGCTCGCTCCCGCCGCGGGGACCCCCCCGGGACTCGCGGTGCCGTCGCGGCACGAGGACCATCCGTCACCCACGCCGGGGCGTGCAGGAGACCCCGCGCGGGCTGCCCGCGGCAGCAAAAGGGAAGAGGAAGCGTGGCGGGACASGAGCACGAGGGATGCCGAGCGGGAAATCGGCGCCGGCGACCTCGCCGTGCGCCGTGCCGGGCCTGGCTTTGGGGATGGCGCGGTGTTATAAACTGGGCCGGGGGGCTGTGTGAACTGGTGCCCACTGGCTGCGCCAGCGAAGGGGGCGCGGGGACCCCGCGGCAGGGCGCCCCGGGGGCGCTGCCCCGCGCGTCGGGGCCACCCTGCCAAGAACACCCCCCGCTCCTCGCACTGTGGTGTCTCCCACCCCCCCCATCATCACAATGGTTCAGCCCATCACAGAGTGGCCCCGCCCCCCGCGCCGCGGCCCCCACGCATCCCTCACACCATTGGACTCTAGATGTGCCCGTCCCGAGCTAGCCCCGCCCCTGGGGGGGCGGTGACCTGAGGTGGGGCGGGGCTGTGGTGCGGGGGCGGAGCCCGTAGGAACCAGGGGGCGGTGCCGTGACGAGAGGGCGGTGCCGTGTCGCGGGGGCGGGG